TATGTTAAGAAAAGATGAAAAAATTTAAAATATGAAAAGCGGAGAACCTGATTTTTCATTCAAATGATGTATCAGTATTTTGGTAACGGAATATTGGTCAGTGCTTCTTTGGGTGTCACAGGTATAATTTATTTAAGAAGTCGACTGAAATTCTGCAAATATTTATTCACAGAATTGGCCCTTATATACGAGAAGATAAATTTTATACAATCATGATTTGAAGAATTTGTATGATCTGTAACTGTAACATTTAATTAAAAGGCATTCAAATTCGCTCCCCATCCAAATGTTTTCAGTAGCCACCAATCGATCAATAGCTTGTTCGTTTTTTAGACTTTCACTGATATTCATCACAGAAATTTCGACTTTTATATATTCGATTTTTTTAGAATTGGCCGAATTTCTCATTCTCGACTTTCCTCTGCATTAACCTACTAAATATTCCTGAATATGAGGTGTGCAATAGACTTACCTTCACGTGGTACACCCTGGACAACGTATTCTCATACATACCACCACGTGGTGCACCCTGAGCAACGTATACTCATACGACAAAAAAGTCTATAAACCGGCAGTTGACTTCTGAGTTCAAGCTATAAAAAAGTCTATTAACCGGCAATTGACTTCTGACTTCAAACAACCATGACTCCACTGTGTCATATTCGACAATTTCCACAGTTCTCACCTCACCTTTTTATATTCGACTACTTCCACAGTACTCACCTCACCTTTTTTCACAACTTCGACTACTTCAACCGTACTCACCTCACCTTTTTTCAACCTTTGTGTCTGTCTCTTTTACATCTTTGAAATACTCTTTTGTTATGCCATATTCGACAATTTCCACAGTTCTCACCTCACCTTTTTATACCTTTGTGTCTGTCTCTTTTGCATCTTTGAAACACTCTTCTATCCCCCCCCTCTCAACTTATTTCACTTTGATGTTCCAACTCCTCTCTGTGAAGCCTGAAGTCAACTAACTGGCTAATGATAACTAACAAAGCACCAGCCATGTGATTTAAATAAATAAATATTCCTGAATATGGACGGAGAGCTATGAATTTAGGATTCACTTGGAATAAGGGTTCACAAGATGTTGTCATAAGTACTCATAAGGAGGGTAAAATTGAAATAAATAACCTCTTTTTAACCTTATTTTCCTCGAGTAATGTTAACTCAAGGCAGATTAAGTACATTTACGCGTAGAAACGTTAGTTAAATTACTTCTGAATTGATTTTTTTAATAATAAACGGAGTGAACTCAAAAAAAGAAAATATAGTCTGAGGTTTATTAAAGCTAATAAACTTGAAAATATTAAGCTTACATTGTCGTTGGGCGTTCAAATATACCTTTTCCTTGAGTGATTTACTCACTAGTATGTTTTTGAGAGCATTCAGTTCATTTTCATCACGAATTTCCGCCACACGAACTTGAACATTTGGGTATTTGCTTAGTGCGACTTCGCACTGTTGTTGGGCTTCAGCAAGAGTATATTTAGTAGTTTCAGAAAGGAGGTTATAGCACTTCCCACTTGCCTTTTCGTACGTCCACGAAGAATTTGCACAGGGGAAGGTGTCAGGGTATATACAAAATACTAAATTTTAAGATATTAAAAACAATGTGTCATCTACTGATAACATGCTTATTGCAAATATACATGAAAGTAATTTTTAGTGCAACTGAATAAAAATTTCAAAGAAAATCAAATTAAACTCTTTGAGCAGTAGCATACAAAATTATCAATTGTAGGGCTAATAAGGTAGGCAGGATCTTACATCTAGGCTTTATGTCGACCTTTGTCCTTAAGATTTAAAAAAAAACAAGTTTTGTGTTTCAGATAAGCTACCGATCTCTATTCTGATCCATCGTAGTGGTAAGTTATTGATGACAATTGCCAAAATTGATTATTGCATGCCGATTCATTTGGCATTGATTGATCTAACCAAGTGTTTTCTATGAATATAAGTCCCTCGCTGTTTGAATCAGTTAATTAACTTAATTAAATCATATTTTACAGTAGTTGCTTCCATTTCCATAACAACATTCCATCCCAATTTCCTGCCAAACACCTGAAATTTGACGAAATGTTGACATCTACCAACTTTTCAGAGGATCAATTGAAGTCAAAAATGAGTGTCACGCGAAAAGCCTTCAATCTACCCTTACTCATATTCATTTTGAGTCCCTTCTCTTTAGTAAATAAATAAGTTAAGGAAAATCATTTATGCTTAGTCATAGAAGAGCGTTCAATGTGTGGTGTGTTAAGAAGTTGACGCACCTATGGATGCACTGAAGAACACAAGAGCAGAGACCACTTGAATTCCCGATTTCATTTCTCTATTGCATCAGTATGTTGATTTGGAGTATAATTGCGCAACCTTATATAGAATGCTCATGTTGCTAAGGCAGCACGTAGGCTATTGTTCATTAAACCAATTTAAACCATAACTCATTGTTTCACGCTTCATGTAGCACATGATTGCTTTAATCATGGAGGATTGTAGGTTGCTTAGGTCTTGGCCAATTTAAGACAATAGGTTTACATTATTGCAATACTTTCAAGCGATGTTTATCATTGAAAAAGCTCATTTGGTTCCATCCAATTAATTCACTCTAAAAATTATAAACCTCATACGTTAGTCATTAACATATGAACTTCATTATTCCTCCTAAATAGTCTACTCCAGAGTCATCCTTAATTAAATTTGCCGACCGGAATTGAGTAGCATGTCTAGTCATTCACTTCCTAAAATGTGTATTAAAGTCCACTTATTTTGTGATGCCTTTTTCATGGCAACGCATATTCACACTATATTTTTCCCAAGCTTTATTGCGAATTTCTGCAGTTATTCTAAGGGTCGAATGCACAATTAATTTTGAAGGTAAAATAGACTAAAGCTTCTTAAAAAGAGTTTAATCTAACTTCTTGATGAAGGTTAAAGGGATGGATGATTTTTGGTGTTCGATGAGATGGTCATCGGTAGCTTCAGTGCACACTGTATATTCCTATTCTTGCCCAGTTCGTCCTTCGAAGAAATCGGTTCACCAGTTATTGATGAACCATCCCTAATCAATGTGGAATTTTAAATACCACAACGATGGTACCTACCTTACAAAAATTTGCACATGGGGCTTCAACTGATGGAGAAACTAGTTTTCAGAAGAGATCATTGTCCATAATCTCCAAACTCCGAGTTAGACATACAAGCAACTCAGGATGCGACTGAATATGATTTGTGAACAGTACTAACCGTTAATTATTTGCATATCCTTCAACTTACGATAGCCAGCGTCCCATCAGTCCTCTAGTTATATTATGTCTCGCAGACATTCCTGATGGTAGATTGAATCCATTTTAAGAAGTGATAGAGCATAGACTCAAACTTGTCCAAGGGGGGGGGCGATAGTATCCCTTTTTTATTCACTCAGGAACGTTTTCTCTGTTCTATATGGCATCTTCAGAAATATTGGCTCTTAAACCCGAGTTAGGTTCCAGATGATTTGATATTGTTAAAGCGGTTGAAAAATGTTTGCCAATATATATTAATTACGAATACGGGTCTGTAGGAGGTGCAATATAGTGCAGGTTTATCGATTTCATAAACCACCAATACCATTTTCCCTTTTCTTCACTTCACATTTCGCATATTTTTGAATGATTTTTTTTCAAATGGCAGGCTTTATGACATTAATCATTAGTCCTTAAACTTTGACTTCAGCTTCCTCCTAGGGTGGGAGGGGAGGGTGCATATATAGCAGCTAATTAATATCAGTTCATTAGCCGTCTTCTTGCCTCTCAATATCTCTGGCTTTCCGTCGTTGTCTTTAGGGCTGGACACCGAATCAAGTGCTTCCGTCGTTGTCTTTAGGGCTGGACACCGAATCAAGTGGATCTTCTCCATTTCCTCTTGTAGGTAGAATCAGATGGGTCTTCTCCATTTCCTCCTGTAGGTTTCACAATCAGACTCCATGTCCTTGTCTTTAGAGCTGGACACCGAATCAGGTGGGTCTGCGTTGTCTTTAGAGCTGGACACCGAATCAGGTGGGTCATCACCATTTCCTCCGCTAGACACCGAATCAGGTGGGTCTTCTCCATTTCCTCCTTTGAACACCGAATCAGGTGGGTCTTCTCCATTTCCTCCTGTATACCAGTATCTTTGGCTTTCCGTACTTGTCTTTAGGGCTGGACATCGAATCAGGTGGGTCTTCTCCATTTCCTCCTCTGGTGAACACCGAATCAGGTGGGTCTTCTCCATTTCCTCCTGTATACCAGTATCTTTGGCTTTCCGTACTTGTCTTTAGGGCTGGATCCCAGTATCTCTGTCTTTCCGTCGTTGTCTTTAGGGCTGGACATGGATCTCTGGCTTTCCGTCGTTGTCTTTAGGACTGGACACCGAATCAGGTGCCCTATCGTTGTCTTTAGGGCTGGACACCGAATCAGGGGGGGCTGTCCTTGTCTTTAGAGCTGGACACCGAATCAGGTGGGTCTGCGTTGTCTTTAGAGCTGGACACCGAATCAGGTGGGTCATCACCATTTCCTCCGCTAGACACCGAATCAGGTGGGTCTTCTCCATTTCCTCCTTTGAACACCGAATCAAGTGGATCTTCTCCATTTCCTCTTGTAGGTAACATAGGGGGCATGTGGGTTGAGTGTATACTCCCAATCTATGAAGGTGATTTGCCAGGCAGTCGTATCTGGTACGTAGTCTAAACTCAGCAACGGCTTCGATTCTTGGCCAAAGTTAAACTCAGCAACGGCTTCGATTCTTGGCCAGTCGGCAACGGCTTCGATTCCTGGCCAGTCGGTTATATCGGAGAGTGCCACTATCCTTTGTTCGAGCTTTAAGTTCGTGGCACCTTGAGGTCTTGAATTCTCGCCTGATTAAGGCCTTAATTGCGTGAAAAGATATCGGTCGGTCTATGCCTTGTAAAATCGTTGTCCCCTTCTTAGCAAGTGTGTCAGCAAGCTCATTGCCTTTAATGCCGCAGTGACCAGGAATCCATTGTAGGACCACTGTTTTGTTTTTCTCTTAGGAATCCATTGTAGGACCACTGTTTCGTTTTTCTCTCTCGCCAGCTAATAGAGTTTTTTACGTTCGTATATCTCATCTGTTTTGGGTGGCTCTCTGATTCCAATTTGATAATTTTTCAAAAAAGTTGGATTAGATACAGATGAAGGTGAATATAGTGAACCATGGTGACCGAACTCCGATCCTTATTTTTTCATTTCACTTCTTAGAACTATTAGAGAAGCATGTGCCGAAGATGTAACAACTATTTTTGTTTCGTGTCAGGCCATTGTTAAGTGAAAACGTGTATTGTTTGCTTTACTTCTTTTCTTCAAATTGTATGAATTAGTGCTAGTCTTAAAACAAGCTATTGTTTCCTACAGGCTGCTTTATTGCCATTGTAACTATTTTCAAAATTTCACCCATGTTCAGGGTAAACTGCTTGTTCTAAAGTTCGAATTTGAACGACATGTCTTTTGAATGGGGTTTTAATAAATTGTCTATAAAACATGTGCACACAGACATCTTAAAAAAGGGTTTAAAAGTGTTTGAAAATGATCAAGCTTTCACCTGTGGGGGGGGGAGGGGGGGGGAGCACATTTGAGAAGTTAAGGCGTCAACACCATTAGTACTTTAAAACCATTGTTTTAGTCGATTGCCTTAAAGATTTAATGCTACTATTCTCAACTACAAATGGTACTGAACCATTGTTGCCATATTGTAAACAACTTATCTCTGGCTGATTCAATCACTTCTATTTTTTTTCCTTTTCCAATAAAGGATTTTCTACAAATCCACAAAATAGTAAATTTAAAGCTCTATTTTCAGGGTTTTTTTTTAAATCAGCCTAATTCTTTCTATTTACTTAAATTGAATACCATTGAAGGCGACTTTTACTCTGGACAAAAGCTAATCTTTTTCCGTGGAGTGAATAATTTTCTTCGCACTTATGCTGCCTAGAGAAAAAAGATCAGTCCTGATTTGGCTCCGTTCTGAACATTACGAGCTGGCGTTCGTAGTGAACTCATTAGTGTCAAGTTTGCTTGTTCCTTCCCATATCAATAGTTTTAATCGTTTGGATTACTGTATCGAATTTCTAAGGTTCAAAACTTGATCGTGTTTTCAACTAGCTTAGTCAGAGAAAACTACTAGGAAGTTAAAATTGCATGGTAAATAATATTGCGAGATGTGGGCTTGATAATCTTAGTGAGTAACTTAAAAATTACACAATGCATGCTCACAAAATTTTTGCTCCTAATCGAAGTTTTTCAATTCCTTCACCGTACCTAAAATTAATAGCTAAAGATGTTTATTTTGCGCCATAATAATAATAATACATTTGCAGTTTACTGAAAGTCTTCAATGACATGGCTAATGACCACCAACTTCTAATTAGATTGCATTGCCATTACTTGTGTTTCATGTCGAATTTACGGGACATTTCTGCTCTCCAAATTGACTATCCCATAAAGGCAGATATTGCAGTAATTCTTTTGATGTCTTTCGCCAAATTCTATTGCATGCTTCGACACTTTCCAGGGTTCATAGCAAAATTTTTCAAGCAATGGAGGATAGGGTTGGATTCGAAGACAATATCTCATTCGACGTTACGCCTTCACCTTATAGAGGCTTTTTATATTCTGTTTCTGTCTGCTTCGTTTCTACTAGCGCTTTAACAGTAGCATGTATACATATATTTATTCATTTCAAATGGCAGGCGTTTTGATAGATACCATTAGCCCTTTAGTTGACTTCAGGCTTCACAGAGAGGAGTAGGAACATCAAAGGGGAAAAATCGAGAGGAAGAAGGACAGAATAATGATTCAGAGACTTAAAAGAGACAGGCAGACATAAAGTTAGCAACAAGGTGAGGTGAGTACTGCGGAAGGAGTCGAATATGACATACAGTGGGGTGGTAACAATTTGAAGTCAGAGGTCAATTGCTAGTTAATAGACTTTTTGCCGTATGAGACTACGTTGCTCAGAGTGCACCAAGTAGAGGTAAGTCTATCGCACACCCCAACGTAT